CTGCCTCAGTGTCCTCATTTGTAAGAGGGGAATAAAAAGAGTGTTTACTTCCCAGGGCTGCTGTAATGACCATATGAGATAATATTTTTAAAGCACTTAGCACAGTTGCTGGCATATAGCAGGCACTTAATAAATGTTTATTTCCTTCCTTCTCTTGGATCATCAAACATCACAGAGTTGCTAAATACTTTACACAGAGAGTTCAGTTAGGAGAGCTTTGCCTTTCTCAGTAGCACCTCCAAATAAAGAAGCAGTAAGTGAATGAATAGAACTAGCTGCTTCTTGAACTCAATGAAATAAAGAACAAGAAGCAAAAAAATCTTGAGATTATTAAATTTTTCGCCCAACTTCTACAATTTCCACCTCAGTGTCTAACTGATTGCCTTGATCCTTTATTCTACAGAAAAAAGATACTTTGGCTCCAGAACCCCCAGGTTCCAGCTCTAATAAACCATCCTCCCCTTTTTACATTTTGCTAAAGAGCTAAAAATGTTTCCATGCTTCTGTTCTGAGTAAATGCACTGTAAATTTCTCAGTTACAGATAACAGTTATTGTTTGTTAGAATGTTCTACCTCATATGTGAGTTGCTAGATTTTATACTAAAGATCAGAGGCTTTCTGTGAGGAAAAGAATAAATCTCTTTTTTTCCATCAATTTTAGGGTGCCAATGATTTTTTTGTCTTATCCTTTGACCAGCCAATACCTCCTCCCAAACACTGTTCTTTTCCCTACCCATTTTGCTAGTTGCCACCCACAAAAATGAGCAGAAGTCTGTCTTAAGGCTTGAAGGACCATGTCTCCACACCTCAGGTCAACCTACTCAGCCCTACCCAGACCTACCCAGCCCAGCCTAAACCTATAATTGTCTCAAATCCCTAAAATGACACATTTTAAGCTTTTAAAGACCATATTTGAGCTGCCCAGCCAAATAGCTTTCATTTATAACATTGCTACAGAAATAAATGACCTCTACAATGCTGTTTCAAGTAAAATCGTGTTTTCCCAGAACTGATTCCTGATACTAGGTGGGTTATGCCTATACAGCACAAAATGAGAGTTTAAGGGCAGAGAATCCAGAGAGTTAAGAAGTGATCCAAAGCCTGTGGGTTAATAGGGGAAACTCATCAACATGGAGGAGATTCTTTTCTGACAGTAAGAGGTTGGGAGGTAAAAGTCTGGAGTCAGGGGGACTGAAAAATATTTTGGCGTGGTGGAAAGGGAGCTGGATTTGAAGTTGGGAGAGGTGGGTTTGAATTCTGACTCTGCTACTTTGGTTGACGGTCTTTGTGCAAGTCACTTAACTATCTTGGGTCCCAGCTTCCTCATCTGTAAAATGAGGGGGTTGAACCACATGACTTTTGAAGGTCTCTTTTAGCTCTGAATCTATGACCCTATGATTTTTCACTACCTGCTTAAGGAATACAGTAGGAGTTAGGCAGCAGCAGGAGCTCCATGGGGGCTAGGCCCTGACAAAGTGCCATCAGTTCAGTGCACTTAGTAGGTCTGATAGCATATATTTATAAGTGGGCCCAATCAGCACGATTCCAATTTCCAGCATTGCTCAACTGGGGAACAGTGACAGCCAGTTTGGATGGTGAGATTTACTTGGGATTAGGGACTTTGAGTGTGGAAAAACAGGTTTGGTTGGCAGGATATGACTCTTAGGAAACTAACAAGAAAATGGATTTGGACACAGGATCAAGAAAATGTCACCTCCCTGCTGCAGAATCAACACAGAATAAGTGACCTTCCAATCAGATGTGGAAATAAATTAAAAAAAAACCAACACGATTTAGTGACGAAACTAGAGTATTAACAGAAAACTGCCTAGATGTCTCCAAGCTCCTGTAATTAAGGTAAAGTTAGCAGTGATTATCTCAATTCAGAATTCTAAAGAAATTAGGGTGTGTCCCAGGATTGCCTTAGGGGAAAAAATGACTAATTGTAAATAAAGTACCAGCCAATCTCTTTTCTGACTATATTTGAGCTGCAAAAAAATTAAAAGAGCAGAACGGGTATAACCCGTCCTTCTAGGATTAAAATCAGAGGTAAAAATGAATATTAATTTGATTTAATCCATTCTTCTGAGTAACACTATTTCTTCCTCCCAGTCCTAAAAGATACTTTAGGATATGGCCTATTCTTACATCAGATTCCTATGCCCAATTTTACAGATGAGGAAACTGAGGTAGACAGAGGTTAAATGACTTGAGTGGCACAGCCAATAAATGTTGAAGGCTTTGAATCCAAGTGCCTTCTTTCTGACAGTATGTCATTGGGACCTCCCTTGAAACTGATAGGTGGTAGGTTGGCCTTCAGATGTGGCTGATCATGCCCCTCTCTGACCCTCAGTGAATGCCAGGTGTTCCCTGAGAGACAGTTACCTCCAGCAATACTTGACCAGAAAAACATATTCCATCTCAATCAAGTCTTCACTAGCTTGGTCTCCTCCTGGGCAGAACAGGTCACCCGCAATTGGATGAGAGGAAAAGCAAAGACAGAGGACCATGTCCCTGGGGGAAAACCTAGCTCAGATTGGCTTCTGTTTACAGGGTAAAACACACACACACACACACACACACACACACACACACACAAACCCAAGGGTTCCTACACAGGTAGCTGCCTCGGGGGTTGGGGGCAATTCCTCAGCCAGTTTGGGAAAAGTCTCTTGACCTAGGCTAGGGATAAGGAACCTGTGGCTTTCTAGGTCCTCGGGTACAGCCTTTTGACTGAGTCCAAGTTTTACAGAACAAATCATTTTACTAAGGGGATTTATTCTGTGAAGTTTGGATTCAGTCAAAGGGCTGCACTTGAGAACCTAGGGGGCCACATGTGGCCTCGAGGCCACAGGTTCCCAACCCCTGACTAAAAGGTAGGTTAAAAGATGGAGCTTTTGCCAGAAATGGGTGTATTACAGATTAATCTTAAACTTCAAATGATATAGCATTAATATTATTTTCCTCAATCTGAACTTAGGTCTTCCTGACTCTAAGTCCAGCACCTTATCAACTATACCACTTAGCTGCCTGATAAACAAATCTAGCGTCCAGGCCTGGGAATAATAATTGCTTATGATAGTACCCTCACCACCCTCCTGGCCTTGTAGTTTCCAACATCTCAGCTCCAACTGGCTCTTTGTAGCAGGGAACATCATTTCCTATGTCTGTCACTACAATCCCGGCGACTTTGAGGAGGCCTATAAACCTGCTAGTATTCGTGAAGTGGATTCTAGTCATATCCATTCCCAGCAAGTTAGACAGCACCTTGTCAGGGTCAGGCTAACAGGCCAAATGTTTGCCTTGATCTCCACAGAACAATTTGCAGAATCACATAATACCCACATATAGTCTGACCATGTCAGATTAGAGAAGGAGCATAACATTGTAACACTTCATCTCCATGGAGCCTAAATATCTCTTAATCGAGCCTAAGACAGATTTAGCTTTTGTATTTTGGTTGCCATAGCACTGTTAACGGATATTGAGTTTGCACCACACTAAGAACCCAAAAGATCTTTTGCAGAAGAGCTATCTAGACAAACCTGTCTCATTCTGCAGTTTTGAAGTTGATCTTTTGATCCTAGGTAAAAGATTTTACATTTATCCAGAATAATTTCCATCTTCTTGGATTCAGCTAAATGCCTGTTGATAACTTTTTGGATACTGATTTCGACATGCATGCCATCTATGCTTTTATCCAAGACCCTGATTAAATGTTGAGCAGCACACACCTAGGCACAGATCTATAGAACACAACAACCAGAAAATACCTTCTAATAAGAAACCATTAATCACTACTCCTCAGATCTGACAATTTGGACCAATTCTGCTGTTTTGTTTTTTGGTTGGACAATGGGATCAAGTGACTTGCCCAGGGTCATACAGCTAGTTAGTGTTATGTGTCTGAGGTCACATTTGAACTCAGGTCCTCGTGAATCCAGTGCCAGTGCTATATCCATTGGGCCACCTAGCTGCCCCCAATTTGGACCAATTCTGAACCCACACCTTTCTGTCTTGTCTACAAAGATAGCACCAGAGCATAGCATTTGTAAAATGTTTTGCTAATGTCTACATACAGTCTATCATTAGATGCAGCTAAGAAGTACAGCAGATAGAGTATTGCGCATGGAAAAGAAAGACCTGAATTCAAATCCAACCTCTGATACTTGATAGCTGTGTGATCCTGGGCAACTCACTAAACCTCTGTCTGCCTCAGTTTCATCATGGGGATAAGAATAGTACCTACCTCCCAGGATTGCTGTAAAGATTAAATATCTGTAAAGCACTTAACAAAGTGCCTAGTACTTAGTAGGCACTTAATAAATGCTTGTTCCATCTTCTCCTAGAATACCTTGTTGATTTACCACTCTACTAATCCTATCAAAAAAGGAAATAAGGTTAATTGGCATAATCTATTCTTGATGAAGCCATACTAGCTCTTTAAAGCTATTGATACCATTTCTAGATATTCACCATTTAACTTTGTGAACATACAGTAACCATCCTGTCAAATAAAACTGTCTAGAATTTGGATAGGAATTCAAATAAATGCCACATTCTTCCCTTTTTTGAAAATCAAAATAACATTAGTACTCATGTCCTACAGGGCTCCCTCCCATTCTCCCCAATCTCTTATTTAAAGATCCTTGTCAACAGGATCATATTTGCTGGCATTTTCAGTACCTAGATGTAAAGTTCATCTGGGCCTAGTGATTTAAATTCATCAAGAACACAACTACTGTGTCCTTATTTGTCTTTCTATTCAATCCTTCTCTGTTCCCTTTTCTAAAATGGACACTGATATTCATATGACAGTGATCCCACAGCTCCCCTTCTAACCAAATACTGATGGATAGTTCTGTCTGTCCATAGCATTCCTGTGACCTGACAGTACAAATGAGACTTATTCGTCTCAAAATGTCTAGTTCTAGTACTGTTTCATTAAGGGGACTATGTCTGCTTCTTAATATAACCCTTACTATACCCATGATACTCACCTGACTGTAAGTGGAATTTTAGGTACTTTCTTAGAGACCTTGAGGAAATCTGTGCCGCCATAGGTATCTGTGAAGTATACACCAGCTACACTGGTCACCTGATTTCCAGGGAAGCTGGACAAAACCTTGTCACGTCCATGTTGACTGGCCCAATACCAGGCTTGGCCCCCAGTGAGTAAGCCCCCACCATTTTTCACAAATTGAATCATCTCTTTGGCCAAGGAACTGTTATAGGCATTGATGCAGTAAACTCCTAAGGAGTTCTGAAGGCCATCCGTGGTCTGCACCTTCATCCCAGAGTCACAGAGAATGCCAGTGAGAGATTCCACAGATGTGTGCACTCCAACAGCAGCTCCTGGGCTGAGGTTGAGCCAGCCCACAGCATTGCAAAGAAACTGAGCCAACATGCTATCTTGCAGGTAGCCTTCATGGGACATGACCACCATTCGGCCCTGGCCATAACGCGAGGCAGCAATAAGGACCTGACCATTCTTATTCACCAGTACTGGGAAGGCAGCTTCACCCACCAGCAGCAGTTCACAAGGGATAGGGCCTTTGGGGAGATTCCAACTGTTCAGCCCTTTCACTAGGACCTCAAAATCATCTGATGGAGATGTCATTGTGGCTTTTCTTTTTTTTGCCTGCTGTGGGGAGAGAAGCAAAATTTCAGATGGGTGATATAGCCCTAATCCTGTCCCTCCCTCCACAGAATCTGGCACACAGTAGGTGCTTAATAAATGCTTATATCCTTCTGCTCCTAGAATTCCTTGTTGATGTGCTAGTCTACTAACCCTGTCAATGAAGGAAATGAGGTTAATCTGACACAATCTGTTCTTGATCAAGCCATGCTGGCTCATTTTGGTCATCATTTCCATTTCTAGATGTCCACCATCTAATTTTCTGGACATTCACTAATAATCCTTTTAATGAAACATGCTAGATTTTGGCTAGGAATTAAAGAAAGCTCATTAGCCCACATAGTATGCAAATTCCATTCACTTCCCTTTTTTTTTTCTGAAAATAGAAAACATTAGTCCACTGGTCCTCTTCCCTCTAAAAATACTGGAGAAGAATGAGATAAACAGCAGCAGCTCTTTGGTTTACATAGGTTCATTTGTAGGCTTCAGAGGGATTTAAAGACAGTAATGAATTTCTTCTGTGACCTGGGAATTTCTCCCCATTCTACAAGTGAGAAAACTGAAGTAAGGAACTCAGTGAACACAGTCACCAGGGAAGTCAGCAGGTGACACCAAAGAGAATGAATTTTACCCATGTCCTTATAGGTGCATAGTCACACTCAGCCAAACGCAGATCATCCTCTTCCATGAAGAAGAAGGAGAGGGAAGGGGACAAGAATTTATCAAGTGCCTCTCAGGTACCAAGCACTGTGCTAAGAGCTTTACAGATAGTTAACTTGACCCTGACAACAGCCCTGGGAGGGAGGAGCTATTATTATTCTCATTTTACAGTTGGGGAAGCTGAGGCAAACAGGGGTTAAGCGACTAGTCCAGGAAAACACAGCTAGTAAGTGTCTGAGGCTGAATTTGAACTCAGATCTTCCAGACTCCAGACCAAGGCTCTATGCAGTGTGCTCCAGAGAAGCTATGGGGATAAAGGAAAGGACAATCAGCTCAGAGAGGCTTCCCGTAGTTATCACCCCAGGCAGAATCTAAACTGTACTGGAAACTCCCTGGTAGGATTCTAGGAAAAAGAAGATTAGAAAACCCAAGCTATGCCAGACTCACTTCCCCACAGGCACTGGAGATGTGCATATCGCATTACCTTCCACTCCATACTTACTCTCTCCTTAACTCCCCTCAGTCTATCGTTTGTCCTACATGCTCTCCTGAAACTGTTCTCTAAAGACATCGCTGACCTCCTAACTTCCAAATCTCCTGGCCTTTTCTCAGTCCCCATGCTCCCTGACCTCTACTTTTCTGCCCTGTTTTTCTGGGTCCTGGCCCACCACACTGCGGTTTTTTTTCCGGGATCATAAACCTCTAGGGCTAGAAGGAACTTTAGACGCCATTTAGTCTTCATTTTTACAGATAAGAAAGTAGCCATTAAGGGAATTTCCCAGGATCACACAGGAGTGCGTCAGAGGCATTTTCTCTGATTCTCAATCCTATAGTAGTCTCTGGGTGCTCCCCAATCTGGGAGTCTGAGATTTGCCTTTGAACTAGATGAGTGACAAAATGATTCTATGATACTGCTCTGGGAGGGGATGTGTTTCAGACTTGAATGGGGCCATAAATATTAAGGGGCAAATATAAAGAGACAGAGAAAAGCCCCGAGATCAATGAGTAGAACTCCTTTGTCACTTTGAAGCTGCAGAGATTATTTATTTATATATACATCCCATTTGCAAGTCCACAGATAACCGTCTATACCCCAAAACTGTTACCTGCTCACTTCCTAATTCATGCACCCAGCCCAGGAAACCAGATTGCTCTCCTTTGGAGGGGCCCGGGTGCGGGATGGGGGTGGGGGAGGAAGATCCTTCTGTCCAAGACCCAGAGAAAGGAGAAAACTCACACTCCCGTCCTTTTGCTTCACCTCCGGGATCACAAGTAGAAAGGAGAGGGCTCCTGAGAAGTGAAAAGGATGAAAAAGTGAGACTAGAGACTTATACAGCAGCAGGAGGGGTGTGTCTGAGTTTCCCTCCTTTCCACTTCCTGGTTGGTTTGGCTACTGGCCTGAGTGAGGTGGAGCTTGCTGGGAGACAGAGCTGCTCCCTGCGCCTGCTTATTTCTAGGCCTCTGATGTCATTCAGGGACTGCGGCCTAAGCATCATGCTATTTAAAAAGTAGAAGGGAAAGGGGAAGGAGAGGTATAAGAGGAATGAAAAGGAGAGGGAGAAGGGGAGGGAAAGGAGAAGGGAAAGGGGAAGAGGAAAAGGGGAAGGAGAAGGGGAAGGAGAAAGGGAAAGGGAATGATAAAGACTGAGGGGGACCTGGGGGAAAAAGAGGAGCAGAGAGGGATTCAGAGGACAGTGAGAAGGGAAAAGGGGATGGAGAAAGAGGAGGAGGAAAAGGGAGTGAGGGAGAGGGAGATGGAGAAAGGGAGAGAAGGAGGGAGGGAGGGAGGGGAAGATGGAGAGGGAGGGGGAGATGAGGAGAAAGAAGGGAAGGGGAGAGAGGGAGAAGGGAGAGAGAGAAGAGGGGAGGGGGAGGAGAGAGAAAGAGAAGGACAGGGGGAGGAACAGGGAAATGGAGAGAGATTAGAATTCCAAAAATCTTAACCTTTTTAGGGGTCATGGGCTCCTGATGTGCTGGAGCCAGCTTGGCCTATTGCTAAATTTTTCAGTGTGAACATTTACACCTTGGAAATCAGCAAAGGCTGATGGGGCTTAATTTATTTTGTTGATGATCTAGACTTAAAAAATTAATGAAGAAGATATTAACGTAAGTTACATTTAAAAGCATGTGGTTTGTACATTTTTCCCCCCGAGAGCCAGTTGTTGAACATTTATCAGCACATCTCACCCTTTTGATACTCTGGGAGCCTAATAGACCCCTTCAGGGAGTAATATTTTATTTTTATTTTTGGTGAGGCAATCGGGGTTAAGTGACTTGCCCAGGGTCACACAGCTAGTAAGTGTCAAGTGTCTGAGGCCCGATTTGAACTCAGGTCCCCCCTGACTCCAAGGCTGGAGCTTTATCCATTGTGCCATCTAGCTTCCCCATGGAATAATATTATTAAAAGCATAAAATAAAATATGTAAGATTAAAAACAAAACCAATTGCATTGAAATAGTTTTAAATATATTAAAAAAGGAGAAAAAAAAGTTCCATGGAACCCAGGTTAAGAAATCCTGGATTAGATGCTGAATTCTACTATTTATTGCTTGTAAAATCAATTAACATTTTTAAGGCTTATTAATATCCTCTTCTGTAAAATAATAGCAATGGTTTACTATTACTAATAGTAACATTTATTTTACAAGGCAAAGTGCTTTACATACAATAGTCAATAATTTTAAAAATATTCATAACTTTATGATATGTTTAAAAGGAATAGCAAGTTGTACATTTGCAGTTTCTACTATGTTATGGAAATGCTTCTTCTATTTCTTAAGTTCAGAATAAAATAAATAAAATTTAAAAAAAAATTAAGTTCCTGTTATATGTGAAACTCTGGAATACCAAGACAAAAATGGGGCCTGCCTTCAAGGAGTTTGCATGGTGGAAAGGACAAAAGATAAACGTACATGATAAAATTTGTGAAGCATTGGAGTTCCTGATGGAGGGGCCTTGTCCCCCTCCCCCATTTCAAGGTAGGTTAGATAAATAGATAGCCTTTGGCATATTTGTGGTATCAAACTCAAATAGAAATGGTTGCCTGCATATTTACACATTGACTTAGAAAACCACAAACAATCATCATTTATGTTGTATTTATATTTATTTTGTTAAATATTTTCCAGTTACATTTTAATCTGATTGGGCAGCACTCTGGAGTTTGACAGCTCTGGTAGGCCATGACGACTCTTAATTTTCTGCTAGGCCTAATCTCCATTGTTATGCTAAAGAAACTATCCAGAACCATCAGGTCCCATCTTATTGTCAGCCTGGAAGTATAAAGACAAGTCTCTGGGCTCTATAATGTGAGCTGAGGCCAAGTTCTGGGTCAAGAGCCTTCTAGGTAGGCCTGGGACTGGGATGAACCTATATCTTATATGGGCCTTGTAACATCTCAAAAGGGAGTTAAAGTCTTCCTCTTCCAGGATACACAAGCAGCAAGCTAGCAACTACCCAAGCAGATTCAGGGACAATAGCAGCAAAATGTAATTCATACAAGCATCTCTGATTTCTCGGTACATATGTTAATTAGTGTAACAGAAACACTAGACTTAACACTTTTTAAAAAAGATTTTTTAGACATACTTAATGTACACAGTCAAACTTCACTAATCAAAGCATTCAAACAGTGTACTCTGAAAACAGATCACCACCATTCTGACATTTTAAAGGTTCCAAAAGTCTTCTTACTGGACTAGTTGAAATTCTCTCTCTGCCCAGCTGAAACCTGCTGGCCTCCCAGGAGACAGAGAGAGAGAGAGAGAGAGAGAGAGAGAGAGAGAGAGAGAGAGAGAGAGAGAGAGAGAGAGAGAGAGAGAGAGAGGGAGGGAGGGAGGGAGGGAGGGAGGGAGGGAGGGAGGAGAGAGAGAGAGAGAGAGAGAGAGAGAGAGAGAGAGAGAGAGAGAGAGAGAGAGAGAGAGAAAGAAAAGAGAGGTGGAGAGAAAGAGAGAGAGAGAGAGAGAGAGAGAGAGAGAGAGAGAGAGAGAGAGACATACACAGAGAGACAGAAGGACAGAAAGGGAGAGGGAGGACACTAGAAAGAAAGATCCCACTTGGCATTGATTGGGCTGTATTCAGTGAAATTAAATATAAAATAGCCAAAAAACAGTAGTTGCAAATATCCAAGAGGACTCTAAACTCATGGTTATCATTATATAATTCATGGCTTAGCATTCCTTTTTCTTTGTGAGTCTAAAGCTACCTGTTCCATAATGAATTCATGTTTGTACTCTGGTTACTTTTTTTTTTTTAAACTCTCTGCCCTTAGAGTCAAAAATAGGATTGTTTGTTTCTCAGGAACCTGAGATGAGGATGGAATCAGAACGCTGGGAAGCCTTGTTCTACTGAGAAGAATAATGCACCCAGAGCAAATCACCTGGACAGGTAAAGGCCTGGAAATGATGAAAGCAGCCAGCCTCTGTGGCCTGAGTCAAGCAGTGCCTAACTACCTGCTATGGTAGACAAATGAGTTTTTTCTTAAGGGAGAGAGAGTGACCAAGGAGGTGGGAGAGTGGGGAATCAGAAAAGGTTTGTTACCTGAAATGTGGGCCTGAGTTGTGCTACAAGATAGAGAACAATTTGGGTGTGATCAGTATCCTTATTGCACTGATGGTACTTTGTACCTAATAAATGACAGTGTATACCCATTTATGCAGGATTGCTTGATTGAAGGACAGAAAGTCAAGTTAAATAAAATGTAAAATCCTTTCCACTGGATTATAAACTACTTGAGGTCAGGAACTAATTTTTGCCTCTTTTTGTAACCCTAGTGCTTAGCACGATGCCCAGCACATAGTAGGCACTTAATAAATACTTATTGATTGACTGCACACAACACAATAGAACAGGTCCTTGGTTGCTAGATATATTGCACATTTTATAGATCACTATTAAGTCATCATACCTAAAGGCCTATGAAAAACTATGCATTTTATAAAGATCTTTTTTGTTCATCTGGGGCAAAAGTGGTTGGAGAGTGGGGATGAGGATGGGTGGACAGTTTTACCTGGATCGTAGTCAAGGATATGGGGTATTCCTGTAGGGGGCTGTGGAAGAAAGTCAGACCTGGGAACGGCTATGGTGAAAGGACCTTGGTTGGTGGCAGTGTGGAGTTGGGGAAGACCACAAGATAAGTATAGCTCATGGGCGCTAAGGAGAGGAAGCAGCACACTCTTGCCTCAGAGGAGACATGCCTACCAGAATACTGACTCCTTATTTCCCTTATGTTAGTTATAGATCTCATACATCTCATATACACAGTAAGAGTCTTATGACTGGTGGAAACAACAGTATCCAGTTAATGTTAAAATTAATAGAAATGCCTGACTCATACTTTCTGTCTTAGGAAGCCAAAATAGCACCATTAGGGATGGAAAACAAACAAACGAACAAACAAAAAACAAACTAGTCATACCTCCATACGCTGTTCTTTACCTCAAAATATCTCTGTATTTTGGCTCATCATCATTTTCTTCCCTTCTGTTTCTGAGAAAGGTGACCCTCTATATTTCTCATACTCATCCCTCTAACTGTACTCGTGGTCTCATCTCCTACTCAATTATATAGAGTAATTAATTCTACATTGATTAAATCCATCTGGTCAAGTCAACAAGTATTTATTAAGCATCTATTGGGTACCATATTGAGTGCTAGAGACGCAAAGAAAGTAAAAAGAGTTTCTGCTCTCAAGGAGACCAAAGTTTAATGGGAGAAATAACATGTAAACAATGACATACAAATAGTATTTATAGAGGAGAAATTGGAGATGATCTCAGGTCAAAGCATTAAGATTAAGGAGGACTGAGACTTTAGCTGAAACTTGTTGGTAGCTAGAGAAGCTAAGAAGTAGAGGTGAGGAGGTAGAATGCTCCAGTCACGGAAGATGGACAGTAAATGCACCAAGTTTGTAGATGGAGGGTCTGGCTCGAGAAACAGCAAGAAGGCCATTTTTCTTAGATTAGAGAATATGGGGGGGAAGAAGGGAAAAGAAGTAAGGTTTAAGAAGACTGGAATGGTAGGAAGAGAAAAAGCTATGAAATACCTTTAAAGTCAAACAAAGGATTTTATATTTCATCCTGGAGGCAATAGGTAGCCACTGGAATTGATTGAATATGGAGGGAACATGGTCAGATTCTAATGAGCCAGTGGATTGTAATGGGACAGAGGTCTAACCTTAGTGTCAAGGAGGTAAAGGTTCAAGGCCTGTCACATTCTAGCTATATGACCAGGTTCAAGTAATGACTTTTCTTTTTTTGGAGGCAAACAGTGACTTGCCCTGGGTCACACAGTAAGTATCTGAGGCCAGATTTAACTCAAGTCCTCCTAACTCCAAGGCTAATGCTCTATCCACTCTGCCACC